CTGAGCATCAGCAGGTGAAACCCAAACATCAAAATAATAACAACAACAACAACAATAATAATAATAATAAAAATAAAACCGTCCGAATAAAATCTGCTTCAGTTCCCTGCTTGTGGACTCCTGAAATTCTTTCTCTGCGAGGCGAGACAAGACCCCAGTCACCCTGGGTCCCGGGAGCGGGTGGGCAGAGGTGGACGGGGACACAGTGACCGTCTCTCTGCTCCCCGACTCCCGTGAGGAGCCCCCCGGGGGGCCCGCCAAGACCAGCCGGAGGGACACTCACCCACCATCCAGTCCAGTTCCTCGACGTGGTCCCCGTACAGCCCGTGGGCGCTCCGGCCCCGGAAACGGTCCGTCGTCACCAGGGGCGTGTGGACGTGCAGGAACGAGACGAAGAGGAGGAAAGGGTCCCGCTGGTGGCTGCATCTGGAAAGAGTCACAGTTACTCTCTCCCTCCAAGGCCCATGCAGTGCTCGGGGACACCAGGGGACGCCCGGAATGGAAACTGGGTTACTCACACCCAACGCAAATGCCCGGTGCCCTGCTGATATCGCTCTGGGCCCTGGTGAGAATTTCTTTTTGGCTTTTTGGGGTCCCACCCGGCGATGCTCAGGGGTCCCTCCTGGCTCTGCACTCAGGAATGACTCCTTGGCAGTGCTCGGGGGACCCTAGGGGATGCTGGGAATCGAACCCGGGTCGGCCGCGTGCCAGGCCAACGCCCTCCCTGCTGGGCGATCACTCCAGACCTTTTCAGAGTTTTTTAAAAACCTCTGTGTTCTCTTTTTATTATTATTATTATTGTCATTATTATTATTTTGTTCTTAATGTCATTATTATTATTATTATTATCTGGTCCCACCCGGCAATGCTCAGGGGTGCCTCCTGGCTCTGCACTCAGGAATGACTCCTGGCAGTGCTCACAGGGGGACCCTAGGGGATGCCAGGACTCGAACCTGGGTCAGCCGGGTGCCAGGCCGACGCCCTCCCTGCTGGGCGATCGCTCCAGCCCTCCCCCCTCCACCCCCCGTTAACTTTATTTCTTCATTTCAAACTTTCATCAAAACACCAAGTTGTTTGTTTTTTTTTTTTAAGAAACTTGAATTTTAAATTTTATTTTTATTTTTTGGGGAAAGCAGAGCTATTTGTTTATTTTATTATTATTACTATTATTATTTATTAATCATCATCTATTATTATTACTATTATTTATTAATCATCATCTATTATTATTACTATTATTTATTAATCATCATCTATTATTATTACTATTATTATTTATTTATATTGTTTATTTGTTTATTTATTTTGGCTTTTTTTTTTTGGGTCCCACCCGGCGATGCTCGGGGGTCCCTCCTGGCTCTGTGCTCAGGAATGACTCCTCCTGGCGGTGCTCAGGGGACCCTACAGGATGCTGGGACTCGAACCCGGGTCGGCCGCGTGCCAAGCCAACGCCCTCCCTGCTGGGCGATTGCTCCAGCCCTCCCCCCTCCACCCCCCGTTAACTTTATTTCTTCATTTTAAACTTTAATCAAAACACCAAGTTGTTTGTTTTTTTTTTTTTAACAAACTTGAATTTTAAATTTTATTTTTATTTTTTGGGGAAAGCAGAGCTATTTGTTTATGTTATTATTATTACTATTATTATTTATTAATCATCATCTATTATTATTACTATTATTATTATCACCTATTATTATTACTATTATTATTCATTTATTGTTTATTTATTTATTTATTTAGTCTTTTTTCTTTTTGGGTCACACCCAGCGATGCTCAGGGGTTCCTCCTGGCTCTGCACTCAGGAATGACTCCTGGCGGTGCTCGGGGGACCCTAGGGGATGCTGGGAATCGAACCCGGGTCAGCCGCGTGTGCCAGGCCAACGCCCTCCCTGCTGGGCTGTTGCTCTGGCCCCTCAGTGAAATTTAAATCTGTGCTTGTCCCACTCTTTTTTTTTTTTTAAATAAATATTTTATTTTGGGGGCTGGAGCGAGAGCCCAGCGGGGAGGTCGTTGGCCTGGCACATAGCCGACCCGGGTTCAAGTCCCGGCGTCCCCTAGGGTCCCCCCGAGCACCACCAGGAGGGATTCCTGAGTGCAGAGCCAGGAGGAACCCCTGAGCATCGCCGGGTGGGACCCAGAAAGCAAAAAAATAAATAAATAAATTTAAAAAATAAGCCAAAAAAAAACCCCGAAAAAACCAAAAACAACAACAGCAAAAAAATTTTTTTTATATATATAGTAGTTCATTTAATATTCAAACACCAATCCCAGCACCATGACATCTTCCCACCGGCCCCGTATTTCGGGTCTTTTCATCCCTAACTCCAAACCCTGCCCCAAAGCAGAACCACGAAATGACAAATTTTTGGTCTTGCTTGTTATGAAAAACGACTGAAAATGCTCCCAAAAAAAAAAAAAGTATCCTTAGAGGGAAAAGTGTGAAAGTTGTTGTATTTTTATTTATTTATTTATTTATTTTATTTTATTTTATTTTATTTATTTTTTGGGTCATGCCCTGCAATGCTCAAGGAAGGCTCACTCTTGGCTCTGTGTTCTAGAATGATCCCTCCCGTGAGAGCTTTAGGGAATCTCATGGGATACTGCGATTCCACTTAGGTCAGCCACATCCAAGGCAAATAAGTTTCCAAACTGCTATAGTATCTCTCCAGCTCTTGATTTTTTAAATTTTTTTTCCCTTTTTCACTTTGATTTGGGCTGGAGCGATAGCACAGCGGGGAGGGCGTCTGCCTTGCACGCGGCCGACCTGGCCGAGCCGGGTTCGATTCCTCCGCCCCTCTCGGAGAGCCCGGCAAGCTACCGAGAGTATCTCGCCCGCACGGCAGAGCCTGGCAAGCTCCCCGTGACGTATTCGATGTGCCAGACACAGTGACAACACGTCTCACTGATGGAGACGTTACTGGGTTTGCTCTCGATCAAAATCCAATCAACAAGGGAAGGACACTGTGTTTGTTTGGGCCACACCTACTGATGCAAGGGAATTATCTTTTATTTTTTTCCCTTTTTTCATCACACCCATCAACGCTCAGGGGTCCCTCCTGGCTCTGCACTCAGGAATGACTCCTGGCGGTGCTCGGGGGGACCCTCGGGGATGCTGGGAATTGAGCTTGGGCCGGCTGCAGTGCCAGGCCAACGCCCTACCTGGGAGGGAATTATCTTTTATTTTTGTTTGTTTGTTTCTTTGTTTATTTTGGCTTTTCGGTCCCACCCGGCGATGCTCAGGGGTCCCTCCTGGCTCATGCACTCAGGAATGACTCCTGGCAGTGCTCGGGGGACCCTAGGGGATGCTGGGAATCGAACCCGGGTCGGCCGCGTGCCAGGCCAACGCCCTCCCCGCTGGGCTACATCGCTCCAGCCTCCGTAGGAAAAATCTTATTTCCGGAGAGCACTGCGTGTGAAAATGATTCTCAACTTTACGGGCAATGTGGGATGCTCTGATTTGGCAAGACCTTCACCCATGCCCACACCCCCGACCATTAGCCTCTCCCATCCCTGCACAATGATCTCGAGTCACCCACAGGCGAATCCACCCCATTTGCAGGAACTTTTGTGTCTCAAACGCCGCCGCCTTTGGTATACAGGCTCTCGAGGAAGTGAAGGTCTGGACATTCCGTAGGGGAAAAAAAAAAAAAAACAACTCGGGAGAAAACACGGTTTCCGAAGTGGACAAGTATGCAGTCAGAGATAGTCTAGCAGGCAAGGCAGGGCCTTCACCTGGAACTGAGCCCGGTTCAATCCCTGGTCCAACTGGGAGAACCATCTGTGAGCCCTGAGCACAGAGCCAGGAGTCAGCCCCGAGCACAGAGCCGGGAGTCAGCCCCAAGCACAGAGCCAGGAGTGAGCCCTGAGCGCAGAACTGGGAGTCAGTCCTGAGCACAGAGCCGGGAGTCACCCCTGAGCACAGAGCCAGAAGTCAGAAGTGAGCCCTGAGTACAGAGCTGGGAGTGAGGCCTGAGCACCGAGCCAGGAGTGAGTCCTGAGCCCAGAGCCAGGAGTCAGCCCTGAGCACAGAGCCGGGAGTCAGTCCTGAGCCCAGAGTCAGGAGTGAGCCCTGAGCACAGAGTCAGGAGTCAGAAGTGAGCCCTGAGCATAGAGCCAGGAGTCAGCCCTGAGCACAGAGTCAGGAGTAAGCCCTGAACCCAGAGTCGGGAGTCAGCCCCGAGCACAGAACCGGGAGTGAGCCCTGAGCACAGAGCCGGGAGTTAGCACTGAACACCAAGCCAGGAGTCAGAAATGAGCCCTGAGCACAGAGCCAGGAGTCAGTCCTGAGCACAGAGTCAGGAGTGAGCCCTGAGCACAGAGCCAGGAGTCAGCCCTGAGCACAGAGCCAGGAATGAGCCCCGAGCAGAGCCGGGAGTGAGCCCTGAGCACAGAGCCGGGAGTCAGCCCTGAGCACAGAGCCAGGAATGAGCCCCGAGCAGAGCCGGGAGTGAGCCCTGAGCACAGAGCCGGGAGTCAGTCCTGAGCCCAGAGTCAGGAGTGAGCCCTGAGCACCAAGCCAGGAGTCAGAAGTGAGCCCTGAGCATAGAGCCAGAAGTCAGCCCTGAGCCCAGAGCTGGAAGTCAGCCCTGAGCACAGAACCGGGAGTCAGCCCTGAGCACAGAGCCAGGAATGAGTCCCGAGCACAGAGCCAGGACTGAGCCCTGAGCACAGAGCCAGGAATGAGCCTCGAGCACAGAGCCAAGAGTCAGCCCTGAGCACAGAGCCGGGAGTCAGCCCTGAGCACAGAGCCGGGAGTGAGCCCCGAGCACAGAGCCAGGAGTGAGTCCTGAGCACAGAGTCAGGAGTCAGCCCTGAGCACAGAGCCGGGAGTGAGCCCTGAGCACAGAACCGGGCGTGAATCGTGAGCACAGAGCCAAGAATCAGTCCTGAGCGCAGAGCCGGGAGTCATCCCCGAGCACAGAGCGAGGAGTCAGCCCAGAGCACAGCTGAGTCTGGTTCAAACCCAGCACCCTGGTTTCCCCGAAGAAGAATCATAAATAATTTTTAACTGTCTTCACCACTTTTTATTTTTATTATTATCATTATTATTAGCTTTTTGGGTCCCACCCGGCGGTGCTCAGGGCTCCCTCCCGGCTCTGCACTCAGCCGTGACTCCTGGTGGTGCTCGGGGGACCCGAGGGGGACGCCGAGATTCGAACCCGGGCCGGCCGTGTGCCAGGCTCACGCCCTCCCCGCCGCGTCCTGTTCATTGATTGACTTTTTAATTGTTTATGATGTTTCCAGGTGCCCGTTGGAAACCCACCAGCCAAGCCCCCGATCTTGGCCGAAGCCGCCTGGGACCCGCAAGTCCCCCGTCCTCGTCCCCGACACAGGGGGGGTCCCGACCCGCCACCCCCCGGGGCCGACACTGACCTCTGCAGGAAAGCGTCTGCCTCCCTTAGAAGGCGCCCCGAGGTGCGATGCAGGTCCATGGGCTGCTCCACGACGCGGTGGTCCCGCATGAGGTAGCAGTCTGCGTGCACCACCAGCACGTCCAGTGCTCGCGAGCACAGTAGCAGGAGTCCGGCGGCCCCGGCCGCGCAGGCCACGGGCGTCCACGGCAGGCGCAGGAGGCGGGTGAGCTTGGCCGTGGCCAGCGTGAGGGCGGCCAGGGCCAAGGCCTGGGCACCGAGGTGGAGCTGGTGCTGCAGCCCGGCCCGGCGCTCGGACAGGCTCCCCGGCACGCAGTCGCCCATCATGGAGAAGGGCATCCCGAAGAAGTGATGGAAACCGTGTCGCAGAGGATGGTGGCAGTGGTCGCCCGCCCGGACACAGTTCACGCCGAGGTGCCACTTCCCTGCGGGGCGGCGGGCGGGAGAGAAGGAGAGAAGGGGTGGAGGGAGGAGGAGGGAAGGAGGGATGCGGGGATGGGAGGAGGGAAAGAGGGATGGAGGAAGAAGGGAAGGAGGGATGGAAGAAGGGAAACACGGATGGAGGGAGGAGAAGGATAAGAGGGATGGAGGGAGAAGGGAATGAGGGATGGAGGGATGGAAGAAGGGACAGATGAATGGAGGGAGGAGGATAAGAGGGATGAAGGGAGAAGAAGGGATGGAAGGAGGAGGAGGGAAAGAGGGATGGAGAGATGGAAGAACAGAAGGAGGATGGACGAAGAAGGGAAGGAGGGATGGACAGAGAAGGGGAAGAGGGATGGAGGGATGGAAGAACAGAAGGAGGATGGAGGAAGAAGGGAAGGAGGGATGGAAGGAGAAGAAGAGAATAAGGAATGGACGGATGGAAGAAGGGAATGAGGGATGGAAGGAGGAGGAGGGAAAGAGGGATGGAGGAATGGAAGAACGGAAAGAGGATGGAGGAAGAAGGGAAGGAGGGATGGAGGGATGGGAGAAGGGAAAGACAGATGGAGGGAGAAGGGAAAGAGGAATGGAGGGAGGATAAGAGGGATGAAGGGAGAAGAAGGGAAGGAGGGATGGAAGGAGGAGGAGGGAAAGAGGGATGGAGAGACGGAAGAACAGAAGGAGGATGGAGGAAGAAAGGAAGGAGGGATGGAAGGAGGAGGAGGGAAAGAGGGATGGAGAAATGGAAGAAGGGAAGGAGGGATGGACAGAGAAGGGGAAGAGGAATGGAGGAATGGAAGAAGGGAAACACGGATGGAGGGAGAAGAAGGGAATGAGGGATGGAGGGAGAAGAGGAATGGAGGAATGGAAGAGAAAAGGATGGAGGGAGAAGGGGAGCAGGGATGGAGGGACAGGAGGAGAAGGGAAAGAGAGATGGAGGGAGAAGGGAAAGAGGAATGGAGGGATGGAGGAATAGAAGGAGGAAAAGAGGATGGAGGAAGGCAAAGGGAAGGAGGGGTGGAGGGATGGGAGGAGGGAAAGAGGGATTGAAGGAGGAGGAGGGAAAGAGGGATGGAGGGAGAAGAAGGGAAGAGGAGTGGAAGAAGGGAAACACGGATGGAGGGAAGAGAAGGGAAGGAGAGGTGGATGGAGAAGGAGCAAGAGGAAAAAGAAGGATGGAGGGAAGGGAGAAGGGAAACAAGGATGGAGAAGGGAGAGAGGGACGGACGGAGGAGAAGGGGAAGAGGAATGGAGGAGTGGAAGGAGGGAGACACGGATGGAGGAAGAATGGAAAGACCAATGGAGGGATGGGAGGAGGGAAACATGGATGGAGGTAGAGAGGAGAGAGGGATGGATGGAGAAGGGGAAGAGGAATGGAGGAATGGAAGAAGGGAAACACGGATGGAGGGAGAAGAAGGGAATGAGGGATGGAGGGAGAAGAGGAATGGAGGAATGGAAGAGAAAAGGATGGAGGGAGAAGGGGAGCAGGGATGGAGGGACAGGAGGAGAAGGGAAAGAGAGATGGAGGGAGAAGGGAAAGAGGAATGGAGGGATGGAGGAATAGAAGGAGGAAAAGAGGATGGAGGGAGAAGGGAACGGATGGAGGAACAGACGAGAAGGATGGAGGGACAAGAAGAGAAAGAGGATGGAGGGACGGAAGAAGGGAACGGAGATGCAAGGATGGAGGAGGGGAAGGAGCGACGGAGGGAGAGAAGGAGAAAAAAGAGGATGGAGGGACAGACGGAGGAGAGGGATGCAGGGAAAAGAAGAGAAGGATGGAGGGATGGGAGGAGGGAACGGAGATGCAAGGATGGAGGAGGGGAAGGAGTGATGGAGGGAGAGAAGGAGAAAAAGAGGATGGAGGGACAGACGGAGGAGAGGGATGCAGGGAAAAGAAGAAGGATGGAGGGACGGAAGAAGGGAACGGAGATGCAAGGATGGAGGAGGGGAAGGAGCGACGGAGGGAGAGAAGGAGAAAAAGAGGATGGAGGGACAGATGGAGGAGAGGGATGCAGGGAAAAGAAGAGAAGAAGGATGGAGGGATGGGAGGAGGGAACGGAGATGCAAGGATGGAGGAGGGGAAGGAGCGACGGAGGGAGAGAAGGAGAAAAAGAGGATGGAGGGACAGACGGAGGAGAGGGATGCAGGGAAAAGAAGAGAAGAAAGATGGAGGGACGGAAGAAGGGAACGGAGATGCAAGGATGGAGGGAGGGCAGGAGCGACGGAGGGAGAGAAGGAGAAAAAGAGGATGGAGGGAGAAGGGAACGGATGGAGGAACAGACGAGAAGGATGGAGGGACAAGAAGAGAAAGAGGATGGAGGGACAGACGGAGGAGAGGGATGCAGGGAAAAGAAGAGAAGAAGGATGGAGGGATGGGAGGAGGGAACGGAGATGCAAGGATGGAGGAGGGGAAGGAGCGATGGAGGGAAAGAAGGAGAAAAAGAGGATGGAGGGACAGACGGAGGAGAGGGATGGACAGAAGAGAAAGAAGGAAGGAGGGATGGGAGGAGGGAACGGAGATGAAAGGATGGAGGAGGGGAAGGAGCGACGGAGGGAGAGAAGGAGAAAAAGAGGATGGAGGGACAGACGGAGGAGAGGGATGCAGGGAAAAGAAGAGAATTGGATGGAGGGATGGGAGGAGGGAACGGAGATGCAAGGATGGAGGAGGGGAAGGAGCGATGGAGGGAGAGAAGGAGAAAAAAGAGGATGGAGGGACAGACGGAGGAGAGGGATGCAGGGAAAAGAAGAGAAAGAAGGAAGGAGGGATGGGAGGAGGGAAACAGGGATGGAGGGAGTAAGGGATGGAGGGATGGAGGGATGGACGGGTGCTGGTCAGTCCCCCCGTGGGGATCCGGGGGCTTCATCTCTGTCTCTGGGGCCGGGGCGTGAGGGATGGGGCAGGGGGTGGGCGGTCGCGGTCCAGCTGGGTGGGCTGCCGGCCGTGGGCTCGTGAGAACGCAGCGTTGCGTCCACGCTGGTCCGAGGTGCCAATGGCCGCCGCTGGACGGCTCCAACGCCAAGGCCCCGGGGACGGAGAGAGAGGACGGCCAGCAGGGCCGGACAGGTGAGGACCCAGCGTCTGTCCACGGAGCGCAGTGACCAGTGACCAGTGACCAGTGACCACAGCTTGTTGGCTCAACGGACAACCCCATGGCGGTGGGAAACGTGTCTTTGTGGAGGGATGGATGTTGGAGCACTGTAGGACTCAAATCCAGAGCTCTTGAGTGAGAGCCCAGCGGGGAGGGTGTCGGCCATGCAGGTGGCCGGACCCGGGTTCGATTCCCAGCATCCCACAGGGTCCCCCCCAAGCACCGCCGGGAGGGATTCCAGAGTGCAGAGCCAGCAAAAACAAACAAACAAACAAAACTCAGCATGAACAGATTCGGAAGGCTCTATCTCCCAAGGTGATTCAGTGTAAAATAATAATAATAATAATAATAATAAAGGTAAAGGTAAAGGCCCTCCCGTTGATCGTCGATTTGCTCGAGCGGGCCCAGTAACGTCTCCATTGGAGACTTTGTTGTTACTGTGTCTGGCATCTCGAATACGTCACAGGGAGCTTGCCGGGCTCTCCGAGAGGGGCGGAGGACTCGAACTCGGGTCGGTAATAATCGAAAAATTAATCATCACATCACTCTCCTCCCGTTGTTCATCGATGTGCTCGCGCGGGCCCGGTAGCGTCTCCGTTGGAGACGGCGGTAGGGCGTGTGCGACGCATGCAGCCAACGTGGCCACCCAAAAAAATAATAATCCAAAAAATATAATGATTCGGTCCTGGGGACACTGCAGAGGAGGTCGACCGCAAACAAATAGAAAAAGGGCACTGTGTTACTTGCATGAAGGTTAATCACAGTCGAATTTCTCTACTGGTATTTTAAACTAACAAGACGAAGAAACAAAAGGAGGAGGAAAAATTTCGAAAATATATTTTTCCTCTTGCTTTTGTTGGCAGATACTTAACACACACACACACACACACACACACACACACACACCTACAACATTTCTACTATTTGGTGCGTACTGAATCGAAATAAATCCTGATATCATTTACTAGGAATATCACACCAATGGTTTGCAGGGGGCTGGAGCAAAAGCCCGGCGGGGAGGGCGTTGGCCTGGCACGCGGCCAACCCGGGTTCGATTCCCGGCATCCCATGGGGTCCCCCGAGCACTGTCAGGAGGGATTCCTGAGCATCACCCGGTGG